TAATAAAAAAAAAGATAGAAAAGGTTAATAAAAATGATTAAATGAGCCCTGGCTAGGTAGCACGGTTGACTGGAGCATTGTCCCATGCACCAAAAATGTTGTGGGTTCAATCTCCTGGTGAAGTCAGAAGGGGAGGTGACAGATTTATCCTTACACAGATGTTTCTATCTGTCTCTAAAATCAATAAGCATATTCTTGGGTGAGCATTAAAAAAATAGAATTAAATGACTCACAGATAGGTCCACACTAAAGAACATAAGCTTATTTTTGCAAGATGGAACACCTAGTTTTATGTGTACTTAATGCAGAGCCATGATGTTATATGAAGTATCAGCCCATAAGACCTACAGTTAATTATGATTCCACTCCAGAGATCCTCATCTTGCTGTTATCTTTTTATTGTTCCTGCGTTGGAAATCCTTGAATTTATAGAATTAGGAAGCGGAGAGCACCTAGAGTAAGACACTAGGGGAGCTATGACTCTGAACAATAACAATAATAAAATAATGGTTTCCATCTCATTCTATCATTTTTGTGGTAAAAATTGGTTCAAATTAGTAAAAATTACTAATACTAATAGTAAGCAAAACAAAATCTAAATAATATATTTTAATAAGACAGCTTTTTACTATGTTATGTTCAAGTTAAAGAGTGAAAAATTGCAACAACAACAACAACAAAAAACAAAAAGAAGGTCCTTTGGTCCTTTCCATAGTAACCTAACCTTTAAGAAAGTTACAAACATCTTCATCACAATTCATCCGACAACTTGGCTAACCTTCTTTTTAGAATTCCAGACTAAGTGTTACTATTCAAAGGATCTGGTTTTATAAATTTTGTCCCCCCAAATAAAACTTCTGAGAACCAGAATGTTAATTCATTCACACTTCATAGCTAATAGAAATTCGTACCATATCATAAACTAATAGTTTAAACGTTATTGAAAACTTTTTTATTTTTAGTCCCCACCAAGGGTATGTTTATTGATTATTAGAGCAAGAGGAAGGGAGAAAAAGAAAGAGCAAAACAAAAATATGAGAAAAACATCTATTGGTTGCCTTTCATATGAGCTCAGACTGGGGATCAAACCTGTAACCTAGGTATGTGCCCTGACTGGATCAAATCCGCAACCTTTTGGTGTACAGGACAACATTGCAATCAACTGAGCCACTCATCCAGGGCTAAAATTTTCCCTTTTAAAAAATATTTTAATTTAATGATCTGAGAAAAATCAATTTCTTGTTCCACTTATTTATACATTCATTGGTTGGTTCTTATACGTGCCCTGACTAGGGATCAAACCCACAACCTGGCATTTCAGGATGATGCTCTAACCAACTGAGCTACCCACCCAGCACTAAACTTTTTTCATTTATATAAATGAATGTTAACTGAGTCATTTAGTACTTTTTCTTCTGTTACATTTTAAAATCACTGATATTTTATGTAATGAGAAAGTATCAGAAGTAAAACATACAGTTTTGAATTAATGGGATAAAAGGATGACAAGAATATAAAAATCCAGCAGTAATCAAAACTACTTGCAGACAATGTTTCTAAGTTTCAATTATATCCACAATTATAGTATCTAACTACAGACTGCCTTTTTTTTTTTTAAAGATTTTATTTATTGATTTTGAGAGAATGGAAGGGAAGGAGAAAGAGAGGGAGAGAAACATCAGCGTGTGGTTGCCTCTCACGTGTCCCCCACTGGGGACCTGCAACCCAGGCATGTGCCCTGACTGGGAATTGAATTGGTGATGCTTTGGTTACCAGTCCACGCTCAACCCACTGAGCTACAGCAGCCAGGGCCAGGCTGCTTTTTTATAATTATCAACTTATGCTATGCTTCAAAATGGAAAAGCACCTTATTTATCCACATCAACATTAAACATACAACTTTAATTCAGTCCAGGTGAAAAACAGGGACACTGAAACATAAGAGAAATACATGGCAAGACTTCTGGTTTTAACCTCCTATCAGCATGTACAGGAGACAACTGATAAATATTTCTCTTACGTCAATGTTTTTGCTCTTTCTCTCTCTTCTTCTCTCTCTAGTAATCATAAGATGAAGTTTGTGTTTATACAAACACATCTAAAATTTAAGAAATAGGGGCGGGGGAGGATGGGATGGGAAAAATAGATAAAAAAACTGTACTTGAAAAATAACTAAATAAAATTAATTAAAAAAAAATTATTAATTATGCCAAAAAAATAAAATAAAATTTAAGAAATAATTACAAAATAAAAAAGAAGAAAAACAATGTAAGAAATAAATATAGCCAAAAGAATGATTTTTAATGGACATTATCTTAAGTCTTCAACATGTTCAATTACTTTTAACATATCTTTCAATTTAGAGATCCTAAATTTTTATGATATTGTCTATTGGGCTCAACTCTTAATCAATAAACAAAAGGTGTACATAGTAGTAAACTGACAACAAACATGAGTGAACAAATTCGTAAAACGTTTGCAAATATATTTTTACAAGTTCAATGATATATAAATTAATCAAGATACCAGTTTAGCAAACTGGTATCTTGATTAATTTATAGTGATCAGTTTAGCAAACATTAAATGGCATTCCTACCCCAGGAAAGCTTACAATATGGAAACAAAAATTCTTATGTCGTATGGAAAGTAATACAATTCTTTGGTGGAGGAAATTAACCATCAAAAACTTTTAAAATGATGACATTTTGACTTAGCAATTCGACTTACAGAAACTTTTGTCAAGAAAAAAAGTGTGCCAAGTTTCAAATATTCTTGTGAACCCTGTTTACAATTTAAAAAGTAGAAACTATCTCAAATAATAAGCTATTAAATAAAATATAAAGAGAAAGAGCTACTTATATTTGAGAGAAGCTAATACTACATATAACAGTGAAATGTCAAGTGTTTCTCCTTGTACACGCCAAGTCCAAGACCAAGACAACCACTTCTACTAAATATTGTGTTAGAAGAACTAAACAGAGAACCTGGGAGGCCAAAATATTTCCATAATAATACTAAAATTATCTGCCTTGTTTACTGTGTTGGTATTTACACCAATGGTGAAAAAGCAATGGTGGGTAAAACTGCTGAGTAGTTTTGTCCACTATCATGCACTTGCAGAAAAGAAAAAAAATATCATCTTCACTTATGGTTGTTATTCAAACACCAGCTGGTCAATACAGTTCTGAAGCTAACCACCTGGACTTTCATAGAGTATGAAAAGTTCATTATATATATAGTTTAAAATTCTTCACTGTAAGAATGTTTAAGAAACTACCATTTGCCAGATTTTGATGTCATGTCTAAAAAAACAAAGCAAAACAAAAAAATCCAAAAACAGAAACAAACCCCAAAAAATCAGCAGTAAAAAATGGGAAACCATATAAATGCTGAAAGAGAGTAGAGAACAGGTATCTCAGACACAAAGGAATATTTTATAGCCCTGAAACTTCTATTTTAAAATGACATAACACACTAAAATCAACAAAATACAAACCTATATGTCATATACTCTGAATTATATTTTCTACAACCACAGAAGCAAAGACTTTAAAGCAAAAAAACAAAATTTCTGGCCTGGCTGGTGTAGCTCAGTGGATTGAGTGCAGGCCTGTGAACCAAAGCATTGCAGGTTCGATTCCCAGTCAGGGCACATGCCTGGGTTGCAGGCCAGTTCCCAGCAGGGGACACACGAGAGGCAACCATACATTGATATTTCTCTCCCTCTCTTCCCCTCTAAAGATAAATAAATAAAATCTTTATTAAAAAATTAAAAAAAAATTTCTACAGTGCTTACTTCTGGTTAGTGGGGTAAGGTGACAGGTATTATGATTTTTTCCAAATATTCTATAATAACCACGTAGTATTCGCATAACCAGAGAAAAAGATTAATTGGGGAAAAAAGAAAAAAAATTACTAGCATGCCATTAAAGCAGTAAGTAGCTAGGTTACAATAAGTAGTTTGTTACTTTTCAGTCCTTTCCCAAAAGTCTAAGTTGGTTAACAGCTAAAGAGCACTAAAAAGGCCAAAACCCAATACCAACAACACTCTCGTCTTAAATACAAAAAATTCCTCCCCAAATCACATATGTGTCATAAAAAAGTCACAAAAAAAAAATTGCTAAGTGACAAATAACTTTCATTATATCTTAATCTTATCAGAACAAGACTTTTTAAAACATAGGTCTCTGAATTAAAGGCAAGAAACCTAAAATTAAGTAATAAAATGCTGATTTAAAAATGAAAACCAGAGACAAGCAGTCCAACAGTAAACACCTGTAAAGCAAAAATTTGAAATTTCAAGTTACATAATTACAAATTAAACAAAATTCAATTAAGTAATATTATATTGTTTCACTTCAACCCTTTTTATTGGATGATTTTTAAAAAAGATTTTATTTATTTATTTACAGAGAGAGGGGAAGGGATAGAGAAAGTGATGGAAACATCCATGTGTGGTAGCCTCTTGTGTACCCCCAAGTGGGGACCTGGCCTGCAAGACAGGCATGTGCCCCAAATGGGAACTGAATCAACAACCCTTTGGTTCACAGGGCAGCACTCAATCTGCTGAGCCACACCAGACAGGGGTATTGGATGGTTTTTATTTAATTTTTTTCCTCCCAGAGTGTGAAGTTTTTATTCATTTTCCAAGAAAAGATAAAAAGGGCATGGTATGGTGAGATACACTAGCCTTGAGGAGTGGGGGCTTTGGGGGAGGATGATTTTTACATTAAAATAGATATTAGTAAACAAGGATGGTGGTAGTGGTTATGGAGATTTTTAAATTTAAACACTTTAGATGTAAACCACAATGGGTAAAATACAGTAATTCCTGAAAATTCCGAGAACAAGTATACCACACAGCTTTATTAACTAAAATATTCTATATTAATCTGAAAGTCGAGAGAAAGACAATATCCACACATAAAACATAAATAAAATGATATGGGTACTAAAGCCAAAAGTTAATATTGACTTGCGGTAGATCACTCATGGCTTACCAGGACTATGATGAGTTGCAAATCCTCCATTCTGAAATTCGTCTCCTGCCACATTCATTCTACCAGGATTAAAAGGTCCTACTCCAGTCTTGGTCTGTGAAGTTAAAGATGGGGTGTATGTTTGTACATTAACACCAAAGTTACTTGACTGAAGTCCTTTAGCGACATCTCCCAAGTTGGTATTCTATAGTGATGTTACAAGTGTACTCATTAAGTTCTTATCTCGCCCAGCATTCAGAGCTTACACCTTTATCTAAGGTTGTAAAATTAGCAATCTGAATTTCAGAGTCGATTCTGCACTGATAACACTATTACCCATTCCTGCATTTACCTTTCTTCTTGAAAGACTGGAAGTGGAGAAATCCACATCTTTGGTTCTCTTTTTAGTTTCTGGAAGTCCCCATTCAGTAAAACTGGAAGTTTTCTTTTCCTCTCCATTTGCTTCTATGTCCTCTTCATCATCAATAACAATGGTTTCACTTATAGTTCCCTTCTGAGAAGCCAAATCTCTTGAGGCAGAAAGAATTATGGAATAATTTCCTTGTAGCTTTTCATTTCTTGATGAAGCAAATATAAAATTTCTTTGATCAGCTATTGCTGAAGAAGTGGAAGGAGGTTGTATAGACTCAATAAACACAACATCATCATCATCATCATCATCGTGCACTGTTGAGTTTCTAGATCTATCAACTAAAGGACTAGCTGGGTCATCAAATGAATTTCCTACTTCTATGAGACTAGCTGTCATGGCTTTACTCCCTAAAAACACAGGTGTCTGTTCTGTCAAGTCTAATTCTCCTGCTGAACCTGTGTTCAAGCCAAAGAACCTAAAAGAGACAAAGAAAAGAAAAAAAAAGGTTATAGTATATTATGGTTATTATAAGAATACAGAAGAAATTTTAAATTTGAGTCTTCATGTAATTTTGACTTTTTAAAAAAGATTTTTTAGTTTACTTTTATAGAGAGGAAAAGGGAGAGAGAAAGAGAGGCAGAGAAACATGACTGTGTGAGAGATACATCCATTGGCTGCCTCTAACATGCCTCCAACTGGGTACCTAGCCTGCAACCCAGACGTGTGCCCTGAATGGGAATTGAACCAGTGACCTTTCAGCTCACAGGCTGGCACTCAATCCACTGAGCTGCACCAGCCAGAGTGATCAAACTTTTAAGACACCCATTCAGTTCTTCCTCTCCCATTAACCATATTATGCTTATTTCTTCAGAGTTTGATGAAAATTAATTATTCAATTTTTGGCAGTCCTTAAAAAAAATTTACCCAACTAACAGGACAGTCCTCACTTAACATCAGTATCTTCTGTGACTTTACGCAAAATATTTAAGGAAACAAATTTTACCACAGGCTAATTGATATAAACAAAAGCTAAGTCCCTGTAATATTTCATCAACAGTATAATAAAACATTACTTGAGGAACTGCTGTACTCAATTTAACTCACCTTTTATAGGAAAAATATACCTGTCTTCCTTTAAAATAGAAAACATTAACAAAATAACTTATCCAACTATTAATAACGAAGAGCCCAAATATAATCAATTTACTACATATACTTCTATCTAATAAATTATTGTTACTGTCTAATTTCTAGTTCCACAGTGTTTTCAAATTCTCTACTTCCAATATAACTATGTGATTAAATCTTTCCAAATCTTTTTTTAAAGATTTTATTTATTTATTTATTGAGAGAGAAGAGAGGAAGAGAGAGAAATATCAATGCACGGTTGCCTCTCGTGTGCCCCATACCAGGGACCTGTCCTGCAACCCAGGCATGTGCCCTGACTGGGAACTGAACCAGTGACTATTTGGTTTTGCAGGCTGGCATTCAATCCATTGAATCACACTAGCCAGGGCCCAAATCATTTTGAATGTATACTTGTTTTACTCACAATCTGTCATGTTTTAGGCTACCAAAAGTGATTCTAACAAAACAAATTTTAAACTCATATTAAATCCATTGATCCATTTTATTCAATGTCAATATTCAATGTTAAAAAGAACATAAAAACAAACATGCACACAACTGCAGAGTTTTCACAAAGGTCTATTTCATTATTGGTGGGCAGTGTGTTTAATAAATACATTTAAATAATGTATAAGGAACTGCACAAAGGCTGTCCTATTAAGTAAATAACCATTTCAACTAGAAACCAACAAGTAACTGTCTAACTATTTGAAACACACCTCTTATTTAGCTCATCCTGTTTTCATAACCTTCTTAGAGGGAAAAAAAGCCTGATGGTCACAAAGGAAATATATTAAGACCAAATCTTCTGATATCCATTCGCAGAGCTTTTTTTCTCCCTCTTTTGTTTTCCTTTTTAATAGTTGTTGTTGGTGGTGGTGTGTTGATCCAATCTGAGCTTTGTTTCAGCTGGATTAAGTCTCCAACTCCAGGGCAAGCCCAAGTTTGTGGCCTCTAGCATTATAATGCTCTTCTTCCATCTACCACAGAAGTATAAGCATTACACCAGGCCTCAGAGTCTGAGTTTAGCCCGCTCCAATTAAATTAGAGTTGTTGATTTAAATAAATGTATATTTTATTTATTTTTAGAGAGGGGAAGGGAGGCAGGAAGAGAGGGAGAGAAACATCAGTGTGTGGTTGCCTCTCACAAGGCCCCAAATGAGGACCTGGCCCACAACCCAGGCTTGTGCCCTGACTGGGAAACCCCTTGGTTTGCAGGCCCGCACTCAATCAACTGAGCTACACCAACCAGGGCGAACCGTTGATTTTTGCAGAAATGGAAGTTGGGGGACCCAAATGATAGACAGCTGCAATGCCAAAGCAAGTGCAGTTGGTACCTAATGTCCAAGGAATGTTTAATGAAGTGTCAAGATCCTCACATACTTACTGATAAATTGAGCCTCGAAATTCTGTCCCATCACTGACATTAGTGCATAGCTGTAAGTCCCCAGTCCTATAGCCTACTGCAGTCATTTCTTGTCAGCTTTGATCTGGCACTCTCAAAGGTCATCTGGTATCCAGCAAGCCTGCCCTCATAACCAAAGACAGCTAAACCATGGACTGTTAAGTCCAACAAAAACAAAGTCCACATTGCAACCAAGAATTATACATTCCCTTTTGTAAGAAGACTTGATTTACCACTTTTCTGTCCTATATTTGGTGAAAATGTGATATCAAATGTCAATTTCAAACCCTGACAAATCTGGTCATCGATGGCAATTTCTGTTCCCGGAGTGTTGTCAGTGTTCCATTTCTCTGTGTGTTCCATACTCACACTATTTATATTTGCCCTCCAAAGTCCCAGTAATTTTACCAGTGTCTGTATTAGATGAACCAGATGTTGAGAATTCCATGCCACTGCATGACTGTTTTCACATTCAGTTTCACCAACCCAAAACCAAATCCTTTGTTGAAAATATCTCTGGCACTTTTGCCAAAGCCAGCATGACAGAGGAATATGCATTGGGTGAGCGCAGCTCTGTCCATAGGTTGCCACAGCAAGGCTGAGTGAAGAGGTAATTTAGTGGTCTCCTGAGGGGGGCCATTGATGCTGCTGGACTCAAGGTAGGGCTGCAGCTGCAAAGAGGCACTGTTCTGCTGGCTGCAACCCTGTCTTCCCCCTCCAAATCATTTTTGTCTTGTCCAGGAATTGTCAGAGATGATGCTACATTTTCTATGTAAGGTTCTAAAAACACCATGATATACATATAATTTAATTCATTTCACAGATCAGGAAAGAGAAGCTAACTAAATTATTCTGTGTAAGCCCAGATGGGGCTTAAACTCAGGGCTTTAATTCTAGGCCACAAATTCTTCACCACTCTGTTATATTCAATAAACACTTCTCTGTACCTACTATGCCCTTGAGTATGACAAAAGAAAGGATCTAACGAGGGATACAGTTGAAGAATCTAGAGAAGTGAATAATCAATAAAAAGAGGCTCCACAAGGCTCTTGCAAGTGAGAGATGAGGATATGTGCACAGATGGTAGTTAAATTGTTCTCGAATAGGAATCACTCCTATCTCAAAAAGGCCAGAGGGAAAAAAGCAGGCATAACTGGAATGCATGTAAGTACATAGAAACGACAGGTGGGAAGCTGTTAAGTTTATCCACGTTTGCCTCAATTTTCTTAGCTAGAAACTTGAGAGTGTAGGAGGCAGGAATTGTATGGGTGTCCAATGTTTTTAGAAAACTTCATTTGGCAATCATTATTCCATTGGAAATACCTCATATTGAAATATGCTAAGTAATAGTTCTATTATAAAATTTCCTACAAGTAATTTAACTGATGATAGTTATAGTCACATAACAGGTGACGTTTATTCCTAATAGGTACTATGTCAATAATATGTTCATTCAGTGAATGCTCACAAGAGGCAGGAACTATTCTCTTCCCCCATTCTTCCCATTAGGAAACTAAGACTCAAAAGGTAAAGAATCTGTGCCTGCCCATGTCTCCATTATTGGAAAGGATAGAGTCAATTGAAGTTTAAGAAATTTGACTCCAGAATCTATTTCATAGCCACTATGTTAAATACAATTAATGTATATAACAATTTGTAAAAGTCACTTATCTTTTATCACAATAAGCAAGTTCATTAAAACAAAATCAACATTCAACAAAGTCTATTTCAACCCTAACCATTGTGCCCCAGTTGCTTGGGCATTGGTCCACAAAGCGAAAGGTAACTGGTTGTATTCCCAATCAGGGCACATGCCTGGGTTGTAGGCCAGGTCCCCAGTAGTAGGCATGTGAGAGGCAACCACACACTTATGTTTCTTTCCCTCTTTCTCCCTCTCTTTCCCTCTCTCTAAAAATAAAAATAAATAAAATCACCCCAGCTGGCGTGGCTCAATGGATTGCATGCTGGCCTGCAAACCAAAGGGTCGCCATTTTAATTCCCAGTTAGGGCACATGCCTGGGTTGTGGGCCAGGTCCCTAGTTGGGGTCATGTGAGATGCAATCGGTAGATGTATCTCTCGTACACTGATATTTCTCTCACTCTCTTTCTCCCTCCCTTTCTGTCACTAAAAGTAAATAAATAAATAAATAAAATCTTAAAACAAACAAACAAACAAAAGAAAAAACAAAAACAAAAAAACCCAAAAAACAAAAAACCAAAACCAAAACCTTCTATTTCAAAGATGCAGAAATAATGAATTTAAGGGACCAGTACAAATGGGATACAAAATAAACAAAAAAATTAAGATCAGGGTTAACACTCCTTCAGTAACTTAGTATGTGGTTGATTTTCAAAGGCAAGATGCAATAATTTAGCCTCAACTGAGTTATGAAATATAGGAACGGTTATACATAAACTCTCTCTGTCCTTTTTATAAATGCAAAACAAACAAGACTAATGTGGCTCAGTGGGTTGGGCATCATCCTGGAAACAGAAAGGTTGCTGGTTTGACTTCGGGCAAGGCAACATGCCTGGGTTGTGGGCCAGGTCCCCAGTTGGGTGCATGTAAGAGGCAACCGATCAATGTTTCTTTCACACATTGATGTTCCTCTCTCCCCCTGCCACTCCATTCCCATCTCTCTAAAAATGAGTAATAAAATCTTGAAAAGCCAGTGTGCATTTAACTTAACAATCAAACACTCCCTTAAATCCATAAACCCGACTATAGAAAAGTTGTTTTTTTATCTATCTATCTATCTATCTATCTATCTATCTATCTATCTATCTATCTATCTACCTTTAGAAGGGAAGGGAAGGGAAAGAGAGAAGGAGAGAAATATCAATGTGGGTTGCTTCTGGTGCATCCCCTGCTGGGAACTGGCCTGCAACCCAGGCCTGTGCCCTGACAGGAAATCAAACTGCGATCTTTTGGTTCTCAGGCCTATGCTCAATCCACTGAGCTACACCAGCCAAGGCTGAAACGTTTTTATTATTTCTTTTCTCTTCAAATTATCTCTGGTACCCTGACCGGGCATAAAACTGGCAACCCTTCAGTGCACTGGACAACCCTCTAACCAACTAAGTCATGCAACCAGGGCAATTTTTATTATTTCTATAATAATATTCAAAAAGAGAAAAACAGTCCTGGCTAATGTAGCTCAGTGGACTGAGTGCCAGCCTGTGAACCAAAGGATCGTGGTTCGATTCCCAGTCAGGGCACATGCCTGGGTTGCAGGCCAGTTCCCAGCAGGGGATGCATGAGAAGCAACCGTACATTGGTATTTCTCTTCCTCTCTCCTTCCCTTCCCCTCTAAAAATAAATAAATTAATTAATAATCTTAAAAAAAGAGAGAGAAAACACCAAGATTTAGCTAACTAGCCGTGTGCCACTGAGCAAATTATTTCATCTAAATAAGTTTTCATTTTCTAAACTGTAAATGGGGATCATATGACTGAGGTTTCTATTGATAGAGATTAAGTTGATAGACTGATCAGACACGACTAACTTCACGCCCTTCTAAAGTCTCCATAATCAGCACACAGGAAAAAAGGAGAAAAAGCAACAAAATTTTCTAAGCAGTAGAGCACACAACTAACTCAGTCAACCCAAAAGCCAAACTCTGAAACAGTGATGGAAAAGCTGGAATCACTCTGATTTGGGCTACAGAATCCTCAAAGGGCTTCAGATACCCTTGGGATAGGGGTAGGGGCTCAACTAAGAAGTCTGGGAAATCCTCGATCCCTTTTCTCCCTCCATGTTCATGTTGACAGGTCTTTCCCCACTTTGGCACAGGTTCTAGACTTTTATTCTCTGGAGAGGTAGAATGTAAGTTTTTTTGGGGGTTCACCAAGCAAGGACAAGTGCTTCAATACCACTGATACCAGAGAGTTGCATTCAAACCTCTTTCAGGCAGCAAACTCTTTCCTGGAAGACTTCTTTCTCAAAAATACTCTTCCCTGTGGAATTAGTAACCATGAAAAAAGAAAGACCTAAACATAAATATACAAAAGGTTCCCCACCAATGAGCAAAAGAGCATAAAAAATGAACATATCTCATATAAAAAAGACCTTCCAGGAATTTTAGCAGATATGGAAAACTCAGTAAAAGGCTTGACAGAGAAATCTAAGGAAGTCAAAGAAAAAAAGAGAGGATAAGAATTTATATCTATCATTAACAATATACACAGGCAGTGGTACCTCAATACTCATCATCATGTGACGAGTGGTGAATGAATTTTTCCCATATGAAATAACATAATTAGAAATAAATCATGAGCGTTCCCCAGAACTTTCACATTTTACTGAGCTAATATTAAGCAATGAGGCTGTTTGTAATACAGAATTTTAAAACTAAACAGACATGGATAAAAAAGCAATTAATTATATAAAAATAAAATAAAATTTAACTTTACCTGTACTGAGAGGAGTTCCTGACATAATGGGATGGTGGTGAGGTAGAGGGAGCGGAGTCCTCTTCCAAGATAATTTCAGATTTCTCAGGGGTTTCTTCTGTTTTCTGTCTCTTGGCTTCACTGAACACTGCTGGAGACTCACATTTAGGGAGATCAACTAACAACCTATCAAGAGAAACTTGTTTCTGTCTATGTTTCAAAATGTTTCTAAAGTGTGACATTGTCTGTTCATTAATCAGGTCCACATTTCGGCTTGCTAGAGCTTTGTCTGGATGATACATTTCCACAAAGTTTTGAACTTCAACCCATTTACTACACATTTCTTTAATCAATGCAGTAGATGCTTCCTCCCTTTCCTCTTTATCACCTGCAGAAATTTCCTCAGCCACTATCTGTAGCTGCTCCTTTTGAAGTTCCTGCAGTTCCTCAGTGCTGAGCTCTGTTCTTTGCTCCTCCACTAACTCTTCGACATCTCCATCATTGACTTCTCCATGCTTTACCACACTATGAATACCAGTTCTCTTTTTAAATTTATCAAACCATCCATGACTGGCTTTGAACACTTCAGTGCTCTCACCACTTGTTCCAGGCTTGTCTTTTAACAGATCAGCATGCAATTGCCTAGCTTTCTCACAAATTATTGCCTCAGAGATGCTGTCACCCGCTAACTCTTTTTCATTAATCCAGATGTAAAGCACTTTTTCAACTTCTTCCAAAGTCTGTGAACGTTGCTTACTCACAGACTTCACACCTTTAGCAACGCTTGCTGCTTTTATGGCTTCCTTATTTCTCACTATTGTTGAAATTGTTGTTCTCGGCATTTTGAACATAAGAGCGATATCAGTCACACCTATACCACTCTCATACTTAGCTACAATCTCTTTTTTCTTTTCGATTGTGGTTCTTATTAACTGCCTTTTAGGCTTAGTAGTATCACTCTTAACCTTTCTGCGACCCATGTTTAGCCCTTCAATTGCACAAAAGTACAAAACAGTAACGATGAATATGTAGGGGTTCTGCAATGTTCATGGGCTACTGTGAGAATGACACGACCACCTGTGTTTCATTGCGAGAGAGGGGTACCAAATGGTGAGCAAGCGACGAGTGATGAAGCATTTTCTCTTGCAGGACAGCATTGTGACTCATACAAGTTCTAGCAAGGGCGACAAGTTCCAAGCAAGTGCCAACTGCTGAAACATTTTTTTCTCTCGTCAAAACAAGATGAATAAAGGGTTTGACTGTCTATGTGTGTGTGTCCCATAATTTATGGGCCAGGCGCTTTACCAATTTTTATACTCATTTCAATCTTCATAGCATCCTGGGGAGAGAAACATAACTTACTCATTTATAAAATGTGCATACTAAAAAAACATTTAACTGAATAGGATATGCGTTTGTAAATGTGCACAACAAAGCTGCAAGTATTAACCCTTAGTTTACACTTGCCAAAGAGAGCAGTTGTGTACCCTACTCTGGCTGCCACTAAAACCTGATCCTTTGTTCCGCACCATGCTGAAATACCCTAGACACACTTTGATGAAAAAATGGCTTTTCTAAGTGATTATAACAGCGATTGACAATGACTTGCCCTGTCAATCTCAGTCCCTGCTAGTTCCCTTTCGCTAAGGTGGCCCATCAGAGCTCTACAATCATACGTACATCCCATCGTCTTCACAAACTACTGGAGAATGTGAAGTATCACCCCTGCAGGTTTCATAAGAAAATTACCCTGCTGAATAATATTCAATTCTAAAAGCTAGACATAGACTCTACATCTGACACATTGTCCTGGGTCTTAACTAAAAAGGTGTGCTGTGAAGCATGATAGACTAAGTGCAAAGCTAACTTTGGCCAGGAGGAACAAGGGCAAAGGGAAGGCAGGAATACTACAATAGGAGAACTCCAACCATAAGTTTCTTTTTGATAACTAATGGAAAATATCTGATTAGCTTGAAAGGACAAAACAGGCAGACCAAAGACAGTACTGCAGGGGTGTCCAACCCTTTGGCATCTCTGGGCCATACTGGAAGAAGAAAAGTTGTCTTGGAGAACTTCCGGCCAAAATGGAGGCATAGGTGGAAACACTATGACTCCTCGCACAACCACGTTTAAAGACAACAAAGTTTTAGTAATAAAAATGCAACTAAAATGCAGAAAATTGAACTATATGTAAGTCCAACAACAACGAACCGTTCAACCAGACCTGTAAGAGGGGCTGAGCCAGTGGCAGAGCGGGGTTGGGCAGGAAACATCCACCAGACCAACCCAGGAGTGCAGGGAGCCGTTGGCAGATCCCAGGTGTGGGGTACCAACGGGCAGACCCAGTGAGGGTGCAAGGCAGCAGTCTGACAGCGGCCGCACATTCGAGAGCAGATAAACCAGGCAAAGGAGCGAGCAGTGAGACAGACCTCAGAGGTCCCAGCAGCGGGAAGCAGCAGAGGGGACCAACCACTGCCTCTCTTTGACCCCGGCCCCACATACAGCGTCACAATCCAGTGACTGAGTTGCCCCACCCTGGTGAACACCTAGGGCTCTGCCCCTCATACGAAACAGGCACAAACAGATCAAAACATTATGGCTCAAGAACTCAAAGCCCCAGAGCCAATAACTCTAAATGACCAAGACACAACCAACCTATCAGATGCACAGTTCAAAACACTGGTGATCAGGATCCTCACAGAACTGGTTGATTTTAGTCACAAATTAGAGGAACATATGAAAGCTAAACTAACTGAAATTAATGGTAATGCACAGGAAATCAATAGTAATGGAAAGGAGACTGGGACTCAAACCAAGGGAGTGGACCAGAAGGAAGGAAAAAATGACCAAACAGAAAAGAATGAAGAAACAAGAATTCAAAAAAACGAGGAGAGGCTTAGGAACCTCTAGGACATCTTTAAACGTTCCAACATTCGAATTATAGGGGTGCCAGAAGGGGAAGAGGAACAGTCACGAGTGGAAAACTTATTTGAACAAATAATAAAAGAGAACTTCCCCAATCTGGCAAAGGCAATAGACTTCCAGGAAATCCAGGAAGCTCAGAGAGTCTTAAAGAAGTTGGACCCAAGAAGAAACACACCAAGGCACATCATCATTACATTAGCCGAGATTAAAATGAAGGAGAGAATCCTAGAAGCAGCAAGAGATAAGAGGACTGTCATCTACAAAGAAGTTCCCATCAGACTGTCAGCAGATTTCTCAAAAGAGACCTTACAGGCAAGAAGGGCCTGGAAAGAGGTATTCCAAGTCATGAAATCCAAAGACCTACATCCAAGATTGATGGATCTATCCAGCAAAGTTTTCATTTAGAATGGAAGGACAGATAAAGTGCTTCTCAGATAAGACCAAATTCAAGGAGTTCATCATCACCAAGCCCTTATTATATGAAATGTTAAAGGGACTTACCTAAGAAAAATAAGATAAAAAAGATGAACAGTGAAAGGACAGCAAATTCACTGTTATCAACAACCACACCTAAAACAAAAGCAAACTAAGAGGACAGCTAGATCAGGAGTGAACCATAGAAATGAAGATCAAGTGGAGGATTAGCAACAGGGGAGTGGGAGGAGAAGGGGGGAGAAGGTACAGAAAATAAGTAGCATAGACAGTAGATATAAAATAGATATGGGGGAGGGTAAGAATAGTAGGGGAAATACAGAATCTAAAGAACTTGAAAGACGTCTTCATGAACTAAAGGGGGGAATGGTGGGGGAGGGGTGTGCAGGGTGGAAGGGAATGGAGGTGGGGGAATAGAACAAATGTAATTGCATAATCAATAAAAAAAATGTTAAAAAAATTATTTTAAGCCTCCTAATACAATTGAGTCAAGCAGGGATTGGTGCTGAAACTGCTACCTGAATAGCTGACAGAACTGGGTGTTTTATTATGCCAAAACAAACACCAAACAGATTACTTTCTGGTAAAAAGGAAAAAACACATTCATGTTATAGTGGAAGGATCAGGAAGTCACTACCAATTGAATGTTCCATCTCAAAACCAGAGTACTGTGATAACTAGACTACCTATCTCCTGATATGATGTTGGCTGGGAATTTGCCCAGTGTGACTCTGGGGACAGGGTCCACCCAAGCAACTAGCTCTTTGACTTCATGGTAAAAGAGATGTAAGTCACACAGAACAACAATGTACTATTGCACTCAATGCATGAAAAAGAAAAGCAGGGTAAAATTACTCACGAAGGGTATGTTTTCCTTCTTAATTTCTGCCAAGGCGTCACCAAACTGGCCTGAAGGGATTCCTGGTCCTAAAATGAAAGGAAAGATGAAAAACACTTTCGTTGCAGCCAACCTGGATGTTGCCCAATTCCCACCCTGCAGAAGGAAGAAGCAGAGGGACAAAGAATAAAGGAGTTCAGCGCTCTTTTGCCCTCCCCCACCCACCAATGCGGCGGGAAACCAGATTTAAAAATCTATGGTGACAAAACCACCAGAGAGGAATCTGTTCCTTCAAACTACGGAACGGGGGACGGAGGCACCCGGCCATCTCAAGGGTAAGGGGCGGGGGTGCGGGACAGACGTTGCCTTGATGCCAGCAAGAGAAAGGCATTCCCTCCTGAAAGGGCCCACCCGGCATTATTCCAGTCACTCCAGACAGCAACTCAAAGGTAGAAGCAGCTCACATCCTGCTGGGTTGAAATCTCCCAGTTGTTCCAAGCGTTTGCCACGGACCCAAGACTTTCCGTCTCCTTAAGCCTTAAAATCGCACCCCAGTAAGGCCTGAAGGAGTGTGTGGAGCAGGATCCAGCATGGACGCGGAACCTCGCCCACAAACTTGAGGACCACTCAAACCGGCACAGCTCGGGGAAGAGGACGAACGGGCGCCCCTCCCCCATAAAACCCATAGAGAAAGGAAAATGCCTGAGACGCCACTACCCAGCTTCCTCACTAGCCCCTCCCCACCTCTTTAGAGCCCTGAGGCCTCACGTGGTACCAGGAGCAAGTATGGACCAGTCCTCGGACCCAACATGCAACGGGACGGCGCCCAAGCTTCAGGGGCTAGTTCTGGGCCAGTAGAAAGCTCCGGAAGCCGCCTTCGCTCATCCCCGCCTTCCGAAGCTACGCTGCACACAGCCTGTGTGGACACAGTCCGCGGATCCAAAATCCTAAGACTACCGGGACGAGCCTCACCAGGTTCTGGCTGCAGGTCTCCGGTAGGACCTACCCTCTTCGGTGAAGCACACAACCTCCGCACGATCCACTCCCGAGTTTAGAGCTGTGAACTGGACGAGGAGGTGAAGACGGAGAAGGCGAAGGAGGCGGTGGTGCGGGCAGAGGCGGCTGCGCAGCTAAACCCGAGTACACCCCTCCCTCCATGCCCCCATTGGCTGGCAGGGAAGACTCCGGATGCCCAGGGAGAGTCCATTGGCTGCGTTTGCCTTCCTTCAGGGTCCCCTTGAAGTATCAGCTTGGGAGGCTGTCCATCAGGCGCAGGCCACACCCCCGGAGCTTCCATTGCCTAGTTCCTCTGCCAGCCTGGTCCTGGGACAAGTCCCTCTCTTCTCGCCCCTGCCCCCACTCCCACCCCCACCCTGTCTGTTAGGTTGGTGGACTGAACAGACTTTCGTTGCCGCTGCACTGTCCACTAAGTCAGTCCCTGAGAAACGGGAGTTTGAGCATGGTACCCATTTTGGGATGGCCGGAGACACTGAGGCCAGGTCTCCTGCCCTCGCGGTCTTTCCCAGTGGCCCCGCTTGGGGAGGGATGGGGCTTCGATGTCCCCAAAGCCCACGTGTCCTAGACACCCGGTGTTGGCCCCCCGGGCAGAGGCTGCTGCAGGCCAGCGGGATTGGGCAACGGGCGAAAGCGTTCCTGAGAAATCGCATGTCCACCTGTGCCTTATCTTGTGAGGGGCGGCCCCGACTCCCGTCAAGGCTGCGGCAGGAGACGGCGCCCTCCATCTTGCCGGGACCCACTTGGAAGAGGGCCGGTGCAGCTGGACAACTTGTCCCTGGGAAGCCCTCGCTGTGACCCTCAATTTGGCCGCGGGACAGCCCACTGCCAGTGTCCGTGTGGGACCAAGAAACAGGAGACAGCGGGGTCATCCAGACATCGCTCTCCGCTGTAGGGACCAAGATGGAGTGTAGTCGCCCCTGACGCAGAGCCCACAGTGGGTCCCTAGTTGCCCACACTGCACTCCTGCATCTCCCCCTAGCGGATATTAGTGCTATTTCAACCATGAAGTTGGGTTTAATGGGAAGTTGGTGAAATACACTTAGCCATGATGTCTGGTAATGCAAATAACATCATTAATGTAATGTTTTACAGGTTTATTGAGTTACAGACGCAAATAATCTAAGACAAAAGCATGTTTATGGATTGAGAAGTGTCCTGGGTTTCTTCTGTACACAGTGTTGTGTTTCATGGACATTCCTAATGTCACCAAGAATATATTTTTAGCCCTCAATTATTGGTTGGAAATGAATAACAAGACGTAATGCCAACATTTTCATAGCTGTTATTAATTATAGTCACCCTTCGTGAGTTAAGCACTTGTAAATGCAAAGCCAGAGGTATACTGAGTTGATAGGAAAAAGCTCTATGGAGATCATTTAAAGGTCTGTCAGAGACTTTAAGTGTTAGGTTGACTAGCATGTGTCACGTATTTTCCAAAGCACTGAACTTGTTCATCGCTTTCTGGAATTTGATACTCTTCAACATAAAAAACTGATAACATTTCTTCCCCCCCCCCCCCAATGGCCAGAGTACCAGGTCCATTTTCCAATGAAAACTCTTACTGTGGTGTGCTGCCACAATTTTGGAGAATGTTGGAAATACAGGACAACAAAAGGTCTTTATTGATGATATATACACATCAAATTTAATGTCATACGAAATTCATTTTATAAATAAATTTTCTTTATTAAGATAAACACAATGGTTCTATACAGACCACAAGAGGAAACTAAAAGAAGGTAGCAGTAAGATGAGCTGAATGACATTGAGCTTCCCATGACAAAAGATTTGAATTCAAAATTTTATTTGGTTCTTGGCTAATTACAAATCCTTGACTATCTTTTATTCTTCCTCAGATTCACTTCCTATTTTATAATATAATAATACAAGATGTTGATAAGATCCAAATTTAAAAAGTATGAAACTGATAATAACAAGACAATGTTATTTTGGGGGGGGTCTTTTGATAATTGATGATTCACCATTTGTTGAAAGGTGGAAGTGTTGGGACTAAGAGTACATTTTCTGGAGGCAGATTGCCTGCCTTTGAATCTTTATCATCAGCTAAAAAGTTAAACTCTCACTAGTGGTAGCTGGCATGTTGGACAGCTCAGATATAGAATATTTGCACCATCTTAGAGAGTCATGTAGGAAATCATTGCATTGATCTTAAACATTATTAAAAGAGGGGGAAGAAACATTAAAAAATCAACCAGCCATCTTAAGCTTTTCAATGTTTGTTTCTTCTCTTCTAATAAGTGTTTTCCATTTTCTTGCTTAAAACATTTGTTTTGTTGTTGGTTTGTCTAAAATAAATATTAATTCCCTTAGGGTTTTTTTAAAAAGATTTTATTTATTTATTTATAGAGAGAGGAGGGAAAGGAGAAAGAGAGGGAGAGAAACATCAATGTGTGGTTGCCCCTTGTGTGCCCAGTAGTGATGACCTGGCCTGCAACCCAGGCATGTACCCTAGACTGGGAATTGAACTTGTGACCCTTGAGGTTCGCAAGCTGGCACTCAATCCACTGAGCCACCTGAGCCAGGACAAGTTTCTTTTCTCTTTAATCCTTCACTCCCACAAATGTTTTAAGCCAAGTTTTTATAATTTATTGTGGCAGCCTTAAGAAACTATTAGAACAATATAGCCATAAAGAAAAACAAAGAAATTAAGAATTAGATAAATCAATAAACACTTTTATTTGAAAGTTTTAACATACCTACTCCCAGAAATTGATGGAACAAGGAAATTTAAAAAATAAGTACTAGATACATATACATACATATAAAATTACATAATTAGCAAATAGACAGTTTTACATTAAAAATATTTACACATACCCTGGCTGGTGTGGCTCAGTGGATTGAGCGCCAGCCTGTAACCCAAAGGGTCATGGGTTGGACTCCCAGTTAGGGCACAGGCCTGGGTTGCAGATCAGGTCCCCAGTAGGAAGTGTGCAAGAGGCAACCACACATTAATGTTTCTTTTCTTTCTCCCTCCCTTCCTGTCGCTAAAAATAAATCTTCAGAAAAAAAATATTTACACAGCATTGGCTGGTGTGGTTCAGTGGTTGGAACATCATCCAGCAACTTAAAGTTTGAGGATTTTATCCCGTTCAGGGCATAGATCTGGATTGTGTGTTTGATTCCCATCAGGGAAAATACCTGGTTTGTGGGTTCCATCCCAGTTCAGAGGCATGTGATCTCCAGTCCCACTCCTTATCTCTAGTCTGGGTGCTTGCTGGAGGCGACCAATCCATTCTTTTTCTCTCTTGCACCAGTTTCTCTCTCTCTCTCTCCCTATCTAAAAGCAATGAAAAAAATGTCATTGGGTGAGAAAAAAAATAAAACAAAAAATATTTACAACAACAGATCGAATTTAGCCCTAATGTAATCCTCAATGAATTGTAAAAATATCATATAGATCATGTTCTCCAACCATAATCCAATAAAATATAAATAATAACAAAAGTAGTAAACCATTGATGTTTGAAAACTACATAACTGTTGGGGTAAAGGAAATTGTAAAGGAAATGAAGAAATCTTTAAGAACACAAGGATAATGACACGAAATGTCAAAATATGTGGGAAAGACCCAAAGCAGAATCAGAGGGAACCTGTAACTTAAAATATGTTTATCAGGAAATTTTTCTCCTTTAACACCTTCCATCCCCCACATGTTGTCAAGTTGCAAAGCAACTTCCTCATTCTTAGGCATTTATAACAACAATACCCTACTTCCAAGTGCCAAAACTGTTTCATGTTTTAATTCCTTGAAAGACACTTTCTGCCAAAACTAAGATTAGAAGAAACAATCTGAATACTATATAAGTTAAAAAACTTTAATAAAAAGTAAAAAAAAGTACACATCAGTCAACTATAAATGGCTCACATTACCAGTAGTACACTGAATAATATCAGTTCTAATTCTTGAAATTTGTAATTGTTCATATGACAAAGATTTGCAAATGATTAAGGGTTTTGAGTAAGGAAGGGTATGGGATAATCAGTGTGGGCCCTAATTGCATTTACATGTATTCTTATAATTCTTATAAGATATGACACACAAAAGACAAAAAAGCAATGTGACCATAGAGGTAAATATTGAAATGATGTGGCTGCCTCTTAAGGACTGCAGTAACTACTCAAAGCTGCAAATGGTAAGGAATGGATGTTTTGCTAGAGCCTCCAAGAGGGACCATAGCACTCTCAACACCTTCCTTTTGGCCCACATAAACTGATTTTGGACTCTGTCCTCCAGAACTGTGAAAGAATGCATTTCTTTATTTTTTATTTCCTCTTTTTAAATCTCTTAACTTTCTAATATATTTTGAAATATACTTTATTGATTATGCTATTACAGTTGTCCCATTTTCCCCCTTCACTCCCCTCTACCCTGCATACACCCTTCCACCCACATTGCCCCCCCTTTAGTTCATGTTCATGGGTCATACATTGAACTTCTCTGGCTTCTACATTTCCCACACTATTCTTATCATTCTCCTGTCTGTTTTCTACCTACCATTTATGCTATTTATTCGGTGTACCTTTTCTCCCTCTCTCCCCCTCCCACTCCCCTGTTGACAACCTTCCATGTGATCTCCATTTCTGTGGTTCTGTTCCTGTTTTAGTGGTTTGCTTAGTTTGCTTTTGTTTTTGTTTAAGTTCGGTTGTCAATAACTGTGAGTTTCTTGTCATTCATATTTTTATCTTCTTTTTCTTAGATCAGTCCCTTTAGCATTTCATATAATAAGAGATTTGTGATGATGAACTCCTTTAACTTGATCTTATCTGAGAAGCATTTTATCTGCCCTTCCATTCTGAATGAAAGCTTTACTGGATAGAGTAATCTTGGATGTAGGTTCTTGCCTTTCATGACTTGAAATACTACTTTCCAGCCTCTTCTTGACTGGAGCCTTAGGTGTTGAACCGGGCGGGGAAACCAGGTCTC